CAAAATAGCACAAGTCAAGCTCGAAGCTTTTCGTCTTCCCCTTCGCCCGTGTCAAGAAAAATGAAGTCGCCCGTTTTCATAGTGACCCAGCAAAACCATCAACAATATGAAGATGAAAATATCCCTTATCAAGAACATATGCAACCACAAGCGCCTTCTTAGTACTACTATTACTATTTTAAGTATTCTAACCATAATCACTAACTGTATGAAAAATACAAAATATCGTATTTGTGTATTTGTGTACTAAATTTGTTACGTATATTAAGTACAAGTTATGTTTTGATACTAGTGTTACTTTGAATAATACATTATTGTTTGAAAAAATATTTGAAATCTGAAAAATATATCCTAAGGCAAATTTTTCAAATAGCATCTTGGGACCAACATTTGTTAAGTAACAGACAACAGAATCTTCACATATTAGGATATGTCATACAAATATTTGACAATGTTTCACTGTTGCTTTGTTCGATATAGGTACATATTATTTCTATTTTCTATCGTTTAAAACTAAATCGATTCTAGATTCTATGGCTGTGGAATGGACTAACGATGAGGACGACACATTTTATGAAAGTTAATCTTTGATGAAAGTGTCATCATCGTCACTAAACCCCTCCTCCCCTAGTAGCTATCGAAACAACAAATTCAGGTAAGTGATAGACCGTAAATACGTATTTTTTTATAGAAGAGGGGGCAAACGAGCATGCGGCTCACCTGATGGTAAGTGACCACAGCCGCCCATGGAAATTGCAACACCAGGGGAATTACAGATGCGTTGCTGGCCTTTTAGAAAGAAAGGTGTAAGCTCTTTTCATGAAGATCCCTGAGTCGTATTAGTCCGGAAAAATCGCCGGTGATAAACAATTCCACAGAGAAGTTGTACGAGGAAGAAAACCGGAAGAATTCACAAATCTTCAATTTACGCAATACTTAGTTTAGTGTACGGATTGCAGTACAATGCAGTGGATCCAGATGGTGAAGATGGTATCGTGAATTTTGACGCGATGTGCGTTCGTGAAATTTGGCGGCGGGAATTAATCCGAACAATTCCTCAGGGCACTCCACGTGGTAGATTCGACAGAAAACGCAAATGGATGCAACATCTCTACGCAGTGCCAGTGAATCGTGTCGATCAGAAAACTCGGTCATCGACGATTCGAACCGCTCTGCGCTGAATGAGGTCAAGTGGAAGGAGTTGGCCTGCGGTGCCCCGGCCTAGATATGAGAACAGTATTCCATGTGAGGCCGAACTTGCGCTTTGTAAAGTCGCAAGCGATTTGCCGGCATGAAATACTGTCTCGCTCTGCTGAGCACGCTAATTTGGTCTTCCCTTCCAAGTGACCACGAAACTGCACACTATTAGATATGTCGACGACGAGGATTCTTATACTAGCTATAAGGAAGCAAGGGGAGTGTCTTGAAACTGAGGAGATACGAATTCTTTTTCTTAGGGTTCTTTTTAGCGGTAAATTCTCAAACTTCTGTCTTGTGGGGATTGAACTGGACTAGATTTAGTCGCCCCCAATCTGGGTCATTGTTCAGCAAAGACTCGACTTCAGACACAAGTTTGTCCCAGTACTCGGCGACGTTTTCCCGAGAAATATTGGCTGTCGTCTGCATAACAATGAATGTTATCAGTTTGCAACATATCATTGATATGCAGAAGAAACAGCGTTGTTGATAGCACGCAGCCTTGTGGAACACCAGCGTTAATAGGCTTGTAATCAGAGCATGCACCGTCTACTACGACCTTGATGCTCCGATCAGCAAGGAAACTGGTGATCCAATTGCACAATTTCTTGAGAAGCCCGTAGGAAGGGAGCTTCGAAAGAAGCGCTTTGTGATAGACTCGATCGAAGGCCTTCGCTATGTCCAAACTAATGGTCAATGCTTCCCCCGTAGACTCTACTGCCTCCACCCATCTATGAGTCAGGTAGACCAGAAGATCACCAGCGGATCGACCCCGACGAAAACCGTATTAGCGGTCACTAATCTGCTAGTGATCCTCAAGGTACTTCATGAGCTGGCAGTTTATAATGGACTCCATTATTTTGACGGAATAAGAAGTTCCATACCCTGAAGTACCACATCAGCAACAACGCTGGGATCTTGGGAGAAGCAAAGCAAGGGTAGGATGCAAAAAAAGCCCGCATCCTATGCCAACCGGCTGGCCTATAGTGCCAAACACGGGGGCAGCCTGCAGAATGCAACCGCAACGTTAGTGTGAGTTGCACCACACTCCGGAAAAGACAATGGTCCAACGAGCCTAAAGGAGTGTCAATGGAAACCTGATATACGTCTGGATGATAGGTCAGCAGAGGGCCCAACAGAGAAGGTGCATGATCCTCCACGTCTGGAATCTGCGTAGGCGAAGCAACCACTTGTGTAAGACCATATGCAAAGGCAAAATCATAAACAGATGTCCCCACATGATCGGTTGAACGTGTACTGAGCCATTCGGCGTGTTGGGCGTTAAAATCGCCAAGGTTCACGATCTCTGCGGATGGGAACTGCTGTAACAAGGAATCTGTAGCCATTTGGAGGTGGTTGATGAGTTGGTCTGTTTCGGCATTTACGCTATGGGACCTATAGAAGTACCCGTAGACGCGGGGATGGTCGTCGCTGTCTACGTGCAGCCATAGGATGGTCAGGTGCATACCTTTAAGACTGCCGAGGCGTCGGAAATAGATGTCCTCTCTGACGTATACGCAAACTCCAGCCAGGGGCACAAAGGAGTGTTGTAATTTGTACCCCGGGTAGGAGAGATATGAAGTATCAGCAGGAGAGGCCACCTGAGTCTCGGTTAAATAGAGTAAGGCCGGCTTTGCCGTCTCCAGATGGAAGTAGACAGCGTTAAGGTTGGAATGAAATCCTGATGTTGAAAAAATTCACTGATAGCGTGTCAGGGGTTGCCTTGGTCTTATTGCTCCGCATGGACCGAACAGATTTAGTCGCGAGGGAAATTTAGACATGACATGGTACTTCAGATTCAGATTACAATACATATGCATTATTTTACTTCACATGTGTAAATTGTTTTGAAATTGACTCGTATAACGATGACACCTGGTACAGAACTGAATACCGACTAAAAATTCTATATATATATATATATATATATATATATATATATATATATGCAGCAATTTAGACGTGGTTGATGAGCGGGTCTGTGTCAGTATTACCGCTATGGGACCTATAGAGGCAACCGTAGATGCGGTGATGGTCGTCGCTGTCTACGCGCAGCCATAAGATGGACAGGTCCGTACCTTCAAGAGTGCCGAGGCGTCGAAAACAGATGTCCTCTCTGACGTACACGCAAACTCCAGCTCGGGGCACAAAGGAGTGTTCTCATTTGTACCCTGGGTAGGAGAGATACGAATTATCAGCCGGAGAGGACACCTGTATCTCGGTTAGAAAAAGCAAGGCCGGCTTCGCCGTCTCCAGATGGTAGGGGCCGGCGTTAAGGTTTGAATGAAATCCCCTGATATTGCAGATATTCACGGAAAGCGTGGCAGGGGTTGCCTTTGTCTTACTGCTCCGCTTGCCCCAGAGCAGGTTTCGTCTTGATCGGAATTTCGCCCCCTCCCCCTCCCAGAATACGCGGGGCAGCCTGAGCAGCCACGCTCAGAAAAAGTAAAGTAACTTGGACTTGGATGCTCGGCAAGACATTCTCCAGGGATGCTGGTACCCTCCTGGGGTAGTCTTATGTTTAAGTTTTTTTTATAGGATAGGGTGACAAACGAGCACACAGTCCACCAGATGGTAAGTGGTTGCTGTGGCCCATAGACATCTACATTTATCCTCAATAAAGAATCAAAATACAGATGCGTCGTCACCCGTGAGGGCTAAGATGGAATGCCTCTTTTCCAGAAAAAGGGGTCTCCGGTTCTCTACACTCACCATACGAAACACAGCAGTGTCAAGCTGCCAGTATTCTATGAGAGCGTGGTCTTTCCCCGGTCGAGCCGTCCCATTCGTGCTACAACTATACTATTAATATAGCTGCAGCATGGCTTTACCACGTAACAAGATAACTATGATGATGAGGGGGGGGGGGGGGAATTGGGCCTCGGGCCACCTGCACTTACCAGGCGAAATGCAGAAGTAAACTTGTACTTCACATATTATGGGGCCTATACACCATCGGCCATGATGGACGAATGCTAGTGATGACTATTGTTGTATGGTTTGCAGGGCCGGGTTTGCACTTTCAAGAATTAGAGTTGAAGTTAATTGATGAGCACGTCGATAGGAAAAGATCACCAAAGTTTAAAAGGTTTATTAAAAAGTAAATTAGTTACAAGATTATTGTGGCAAATCTTTCCTTGAGTAGTTAGTTAATAAAATTATTAAGTACTAATTAAACATGCGGCCCGAAAGTAGTTCGCAAACGTAAAATAAAGTTGAATGTACGATGGCTTGCTACAACAATCGTTTTTTTTTTTTATTCATAGATAAAGGGCTTTGTTGCTGATGCGATTATGCCGCCCTGGTAGTTACAAAAAAATCTTAACCGTACAATCGTGTAGAGGCCATAATCGCCTATAATTTACCCATGATCGGTGATGATCGAGCGTAATGGCCGCTGTGTCGGTTTTTCGGGCAAACATCAAAGGCAGTTCGGCCATGATTGTTAGAAAGTTTTTTAGTCACTATTTATAAATCTGGTTCAAAAATACTAATTAAGTATTAAATTTGAACTAGATCTGTAAATGGTGACTGAAAAAGGTATGAATAGAACATTGAACATTGAAGTTCGAAAAAAAGTTATCTATAGTTCTTCGTGTAGGTAGTGTTTATTAATGGAAACATGTTTATGGACGGAAAATATGTGAAAATTCCATTTTGAGGATTCATTCCAAAATCAATATTGAAGTCTTCCGCAACAATCAAACGAGAACATGAGGTATACCTATTGAGGTTGCTGCCGTATATTGTTGTTGTGTTGTATTAAGCATTCTATTGCAACATTAAATTGGCATTATGGTGACCTATACAGTTATCACTCTCACTTTAAACATTTCAAAATGCAAGCATTCACAATGCCTATTTGCAGCGCCTGGGTTATTTAAATAATATCTTTCACATGATCCATCTGTCACAGCATTCTTAAGATTGCGACGTAAATACGCGATAGATCCCCAACCTGAATTTGCATTAGATATAGCTGGACCATCTACTCTGCACACGTCATAAAAACCATCAAGTTCAAAAGTGTCTCTAATACATACCCAGGTTTCAACAAACAATGCTGCATGGGAGGAATGAATTGGATCTATGATGACGTCTGAAAAATGTTTGCGTAATGATTGCACGTTATAAAATATCATTTGAACTGCATTATTTTCAGGTGTTTGCAAAAGATTAAAATATGGTACCAATTTGTTTTGCTCTAGTCTGTTCATTTCTATATTTACAGCGCTCGATTCTGATATTTCAGAAGGAGGTTTAAATCTACCTGAATTCACGACTAAACACAGTTCAGACGATGACATTGCTCTGGAACAAGCTACATAGAGTATCGATCGTTTTACAGTTTTAGAAATATGAACCACAACATTTTCTAAGGTTGCACCTTTCGACTTGTGAATTGTAATACCTCCTGCTGGTACTATTGGAAACTGAGTACGCTGCACTACAATATTTGAAGATTTCCACCTTTTCACAATATAAGTGACAGCATCTAATGGCGTCCATACGAATTGAGATATTGACGATGTTTCCGAGAAGTTACTTGACATTTACTTCCGTCTTTTATCGAACAGAGCCCAAATACGTATAGGCCGCTTTTCACTTGTCTCCTTATGTGGACCGTAATCTGTAGTCTTCAATGTTCCGGTAGTACCATTCACAAGGCCATCCGTAGTGTCAATATTCACAGTTACCATATAACGTGCACCTACTCGTAACTATACAAGTTTTTAGGAGGACCATAGGTCTGCATTATAACTAGAGCATTTACAGATTGCAAGGCTTTTCTAGCAGCTTGCGGATTTGATCCTCCAGAAACCAAATCAAGTGCTTTAACCGAGTACCCTTCAGTGTTCATTCGAGACAATACTAGATTATTGTATTTGTCGACTTCATTGTTGGACGCAAAAAGTGTATCGCTCCATGTGCCTCAATAGGTAAAGTATTAATACTGTAACATATATAATTTATTAACTCTGTATCCATACCATATCTGCGACCGACAGCCATATTGTTTAAGGCTATTGGGAATGCCAGATCATCTCTTTGCTGCATTATTTTAGTCATCATAAAGAGACGGAATGGTTCCCACAATGGTGCGCCAGCAAGCGGTGCCAATGGATTTCGACTACTGTTTGGCTGAAAAACCCAGTTGCCTTCTACCCGTAGTAACTGATTGAAGTTCCCGACGCTTATAATAGATATACCAACAAATAGCGTATCTGTGTAATGCGCGTAATTTGGTTCGGAGTTCTACTCCCTAGCATAGATATTTCATCCAAAATAATTAATCTTACTTTTGCAAGTTTACATGCTAAGGTGTTCGCGGTGCTTGCTGATAATTCGGGCATTATTTGGCAACACTGGGATACTGGAAGCCTAAACGTACTGTGTACAGTTTAACCACCGATTCCAAAAGCAGCTTTTCCCGTGTATGCACAAAGTAAAATTTTAGCATCATCAGGATCTATATCCGGAACTCTATTGAACATAAGCATTAAATATTGATACAAACCCTTAATTAACAAACTTTTGCCCACGCCAGCTCCATCACTAACAAAACAATAAAAAGGTGGTGGTGATTCTTGAGTGAAAATATGTCCTACATGTAACACAAAATGTCTTTGATCACAATTAAATATTCTAACTAAACTCAATATATCATCTTCACACAACACTGCTGATTGGGCAATCGCTCCTCCCACTAAATTCAATTTCCATATAACTGTAGACAATGACCTGGATCACCTTCTTGTGTCTCTAATTCATAATCATCTAAAGGACGAGCTTTTTCTTTCACTGCTCTATCCTCATCCTCTTCATCTTTATCCACATTACGAATTGCATCCAACAATGCCTCGAACTCATCTGGCCCCCTCAAGCGATTAAATTGAAGACTGTCTGAACGGATTTTATCACTAAGTTCAATAAATCTTGTTCCAAGTTCATAATATCATTACATACCACCTATCAGACTCTACAACACTGCTTTATCGAGGGTATCACAATTCAGATACTTGGGACACTACGTGACTGAGGATTTGCGTGATGAAATGGACATGGAGAGGGAGCGTGGGGCTTTAGCGACCTGGAGTAATATGTTAGCCCGCAGGCTTGCACGATGCAGTAATGCCGTTAAAATAACTCTTTTTAAGGCATACTGCCAGTCTTTCTATTTGTGCTCCCTTTGGGTCAACTACACACAAAGGGCGTATAAAGCATTAAAGGTGCAATATAACAATTCATTTACAGTTCTTTTGGGGCTGCCCCGCACTGCAGCGCTTCATGCATGTTCTGTGAGGCCCGCACTGACGCGTTTGACGTTTGACGCGATAATGCGCAAAAAAGCCGCATCGCTACTAAGCAGAACAAGGAATATAATGAGGCCATTGCGTTTCAGCTGCTGATATCGTCATAAACAATGTGCCGAATCATTGCTAATAATTTTTACTTTTCTTCTTCCCAGTGTGCTGGGGAATTTCTCACCCTACTAAGAATTCTATATCCATCGTCATGATAAATGAGGTTTTGTAAGTAGTCGTCATTAAGAAGGTTGTTTACTAAAATAAGAGCACCGTTGACGGTTTTATTTCCAAAACATGTAGCTATGTGTCCACCTATTTGGGTCATCTGTTGTTTCTTTAATAAAGTAAACAAATAATCTGGCCGCATAGCCCTTCTATCATGCCGACTTATTTCGGATTTCATTATCTCAGAAGAACTTAGTTTTATTTTATACTGCATTTTAATTACACCATGAACCTTAATGAAAGCTGATTCTTCAAGAAAATCGTCATACAGTAGTGATAGCGGGTACTTACCCTTACCGGGTGCCATTGTTATGACGATATCCTGCTCACTATCAAGTGAATTTTCAGCATTACCGGGATTTACTGGTTCATCTATTAACTCACCAGGTTCACATATCAATTGCATTCATTGTTATCTATACGATCATCATGATGATCGTATAGATAACAATGATATAACAATGATGTAATCATCATGATGATCATCATCAGCATCAACTTCGTAGTTGTATGCCCATTTGTCATCATATGCAATTTTTAATTCTTTAAATAATTCTGTCTGGACTAAATATTTTGTTGCTTCTCTCACCATTGCAGGAAGAATATGCTGTTGAGGACCGTGTTTATGGCACATTTTTCGCCTCAAAACAAGTGATATTATATGTCTATCAGATGCATGCCTTGGTAACGCTGAGACCATAGTGTTAATATCGACTGCATGTGAAAACCGAGACCTTGACCTCGCTTAAATATTTTAAGGAATACATGTCGTGGTGATACAATACGTTCCTCAAGTGGACTAAGTTGTTGCAGGACATCTGGAATTACAGGATAAGTTAAGCCATTATACATGGCAAGCCGTTGTATTTTGCTTTCTTTTAGATATTTTTGACACGTGAAAAAAATGAATCACAGTCACCAGATGTATTGATTAGAAATAAATCATGTAGGTTTTGATCTGAAAATGTTTTAGGCAACTGATCTTTCCTTATGACTCGCAAACTCTTTTAAAGTGTTTCAAAAATGTCAACTACCTAGATTTAAGTTATAATTGTATATATCCGTATCGTAAAGTTAGTAATATAATTGACACCTTTGACTAAAAAAAGTATTTTCGACTAAGAAACTTCGAGCATAGCCCTCTCCATAGCACGCTGAACGACCGTGAGCTTCTTCATCCGGCCAGCAGCGAAGGAACACGTCTCAGTTCCATAGGTCATCACTTGATTCCCTTGCGAGTATCGAAAATTTGAGGCATTAATGGCTGTATCTTTTGATTGCCTTGGTTTAGAAATTTGAGTTTTTCACAGCTCCAAGGGACGGTAGATTTGAGTATTTGATATGAATTTCAGCTTGATACCTCCACGTTTTCCTTAGAAAAAGGGTCTTGACAGACGGACAGACGGACAACAAAGTGATCCTATAAGGTTCCGTTTATTCATTTTGAGGTACAGATCCCTAAAAAGTAGTTTTTTACCGTCCTTTCCTCCCCCTTTTCAAGTGACGCCAATGACAATGACACAAGCTAGTACTAAAAAAAAAACAGGAAACCACTCCTTAGTAAGGTACGCCATCATTGGTCTTGGTTTTACTTTACTATATATACTCTTTGACGATTTTAGAACATATGCTCTAGACACTTAGTTCACATGACGTCACGGCGAGAAAACCCCGCGAAATAAGCAATAACTCCACATTCTTCACAGGCTTTGCGTAAACTTCGCACAGTTGTTTGATCATTTGAAGGAGATGGACATTAAAGTAGTTATCACTAAGTCTTCCATTAAGCGAATTAGCGTACTATAATTATGAATCATTATGAACTTAGAATCGTGTAGTGGCGGTGTAAAAATATTTACTACTGCATATCATCCTGTGGGTATCGTAAGAAGCGACTGTGGGAAACAAACCAGGAGATAGGCAGCAGCATCTTTCTGATAACAGCAAAATTACTTCAAAAAACCTTCGGTTGCCAACCCCATTGTCAAGCGTGGTATTTATGATAATATAACCCCCATGACGAAAGGTACAAAGGAACGGCCGTTAGTGCCCGGTGGATCGCTATTGTCCTGGGCAGGGGGGTGCTAACAATCTCTGGTGGAGATTAGGTTGCTACCTTAAACGACTCGACCAGGCATTTTACGCACGTACCCGAGAAAACCTGAAGTTGGAAGAAGAGATAGACAAGTTAGCTGGCATATTATAGAACTCTCTGAGTTCTTAAGAGTGGGGGAGGACACGGTAATTCTCAAATCTGGCAACTTGTTATAAAGATGCACAAACCATTTCACTATCCAAGAAATCCAATCCCTAATCCCTTTGTGATAATCGTCCTATTTCCATATTATATTTTTCTTCTAATATTCTTGAGTAACAGCAACTTAAGCTATTCCTGAATCTAAAGAGCCTTTTAAATATATTACAATCAGGCTTTCATCCTGGCCATAGCACGGTCGCTACTTTGGTTCACAGACGACATTCAGGCAGGAATGAAGAATTGGCAAGTTACTATTCTTAGTCTTCTTGATTCTTTCTATCCAGAAGTGACTGGCTGGTTTCGTTACTTGTTTGGACGCCAATACTGCATTCGTATCTATTTCTCGTAATGTTCTCTGAATGCGGGTGTTCCACAAGGTGGCATGTTGTCCATTATCCTTTTTTCAATGTTCATCCACTCCAATATTTTATAGAGACGACATCCAAATATATTCTTAAAGAAGAATTGAAATCCATTTGCCCCTCTATCGATAATAAATCTTGACCTCGCAATTATTTCTGATTTTCTTTTAATAGTGATAGGTACTACAAGAATATACTTGGCATACGTTCTTCGTTTGTTTCGAGAAATCTGCTATTACTTACAGTAAGGTTATAAAAATCCTACGGCATTCTTATGGAAAGTACAATGTCTTGGGAAACAAATGTTTGTCATGGAGCAGAACGAAGCAATGGCACGAGTGCCAATATTTTGGGCATGCCACCGATCACAAAGTTCACTATGAAGTGAAGTATTATATTAC